AAAGATATTAGGGGGGGCCCGATACTTTTCGATGACCCTATATGTTTAATATTAATCAGATATGTCCCACACAGCAGAGGTGTCCAAAATATATCATAGGGATATTCTAAAGATATATTTAGGATATGCGATATCTTCAAGATATCCTTATGATATATTTGGGACGTTCTTGCTGTGTGGGATCTTTTTAGTTAAAATGTTTTTAAAGTTTTTTACTATTCGTATGTTGAAGGTAATATGACCGAAGGATATTTAGCGTGGAATCTATTTTTTTTTGCAAGAAAGATTAAGAAGGATAGAAAGACGCTTAGAAAGAAGATTATTGCGCGATGCTCAAAATCCATTTGAGCTTCCTAATAATGAATTTATTGCTTAATTTAGAACAAATATAGAATTAGTCATGGACATTGTTAACGTTATCAGACCAGAATTACAAAAACAGCGCATAAGTGGCTTGTCACCCGAAATACAAATATTTGTAGCAATTGGTTCTTTTGCACATGGTAGTTATCAAAGATCAGCGGGAAACCAATGCGGACTTGTTGTAAGCCAGCCGTCAACTAGCCGTTGCATACCAAAAGTCACATACTTAATAAATTTGAATTTATTGCGCTGATGGATAAAATTTCCTATGACATCAGAAGATAAAGTTATTTCAAAACAAAAATGCAAGCTCCGCAGCCATTTCCTGGTGCTATTGGTGCTATAGACTGCACATATATTTATACTCTTACACCATATTTGCATGAGAAGGCGTATGTAAATCATCATGGCAATCATTCTTTGAATGTTTATGTATGTTTCGATGTTAATATTATATATGGAATTACATTTTTTCATTGTGATACTTGTGTATCACGTTTTATTAGGTTATGTCGATATACTTTGATGATAAATTGCGACTTTAATATAAGCTCATATAGTTGATGCCAAATTAATGTTTGATTTAATCTTCTTGTGTATTATTTATTTTACATATACTTACTTTGACACATTTTGGTTAACTGTCACATATAATTGTTGATACAGCCATATTTGTATTTACTGTTCCTAAATTCACTGAAAAAGATACACATGGAAAAGAGATTTGATTGGCTGCACACTGCAGCATTGAAGTTATATTAAACTGAATATACTCGTTTCGGTAACAACGTCGGTATCACATTTTGTATCGATACGGTATCGCTAGCCTGAGTTACAGAATAGCTTTTTCGTTACAACGTCGTTAGCGCAAGCGACGATCGTCGCTACGTAACGATAACGACGTTGTCGTTAAAAAGTTAGAGAATAGGCCTACTGGCCACAGGACAGTAACGCTTGCCGCGCGGCGGAAGTTCGCGCAACAGCCAATCAATATGTTGTTTTTTCGTAAGAGCTACAAGGTTATTATAGAAAGTAACATATTGATTGGCTGTCGCACGAACTTCCGCCGCGCAAGTGGTGCCGCGTCCTGTGGGCAGGAGCCATAAATCCCGAGTCACAATAAGTGTAGTAAGCTTTAAGCCTTAAAAAATTTACTAATCACAGTCGATTATTCTCCTCAAATTTGACTGTGATTAGTCAATTTCTTAAGGCTTAAAGCTTACTACACCTATTGTGGATCGGGATTAAGACGTAACGTAAGAATTGACCAATTGCAATCAAGTATTCATAAAAATGATGACCTTACGATTCGACGATTCTCAACATGGGGTGCTTTCCAATTGCTTAACACATCTTGACACACACGTACACAAACCCAATTTATTGGCCATATATTATCTAAAATATCTTGTAAGATAATATGCAACCAATAAGCTGGTTTTGTGTAACAATATACACAACTGGAAAGCACCTATGATTAGTCAATTCTTAAGCCCGTATCACACTAGCGATTGGCGATTGATGATTGACAATTGAAGATTTGATTTTGACGAATCAACGAACTTCAACCTTGACTTGCTTTGTTCAATCGTCAATCATCAATCGCCAATCGCTAGTGTGATTTGGCCTTAAGACGTAATGTAAAGACCGTATCACACTAACGATTGGCGATTGATGATTGACGAATGAACAAAGCAAGCCAAGGTTGAAGCTCGTTGATTCGTCAAAATCTAATCTTCAATCATCAATCATCAATCGCCAATCGCTAGTGTGATTTGGCCTTAAGACGTAATGTAAAGACCGTATCACACTAACGATTGGCGATTGATGATTGACGAATGAACAAAGCAAGCCAAGGTTGAAGCTCGTTGATTCGTCAAAATCTAATCTTCAATCATCAATCATCAATCGCCAATCGCTAGTGTGATTTGGCCTTAAGACGTAATGTAAAGACCGTATCACACTAACGATTGGCGATTGATGATTGACGAATGAACAAAGCAAGCCAAGGTTGAAGCTCGTTGATTCGTCAAAATCTAATCTTCAATCATCAATCATCAATCGCCAATCGCTAGTGTGATTTGGCCTTAAGACGTAATGTAAAGACCGTATCACACTAACGATTGGCGATTGATGATTGACGAATGAACAAAGCAAGCCAAGGTTGAAGCTCGTTGATTCGTCAAAATCTAATCTTCAATCATCAATCATCAATCGCCAATCGCTAGTGTGATTTGGCCTTAAGACGTAATGTAAAGACCGTATCACACTAACGATTGGCGATTGATGATTGACGAATGAACAAAGCAAGCCAAGGTTGAAGCTCGTTGATTCGTCAAAATCTAATCTTCAATCATCAATCATCAATCGCCAATCGCTAGTGTGATACGGGCTTAAGAATTGACTAATCATGAGTGCTTTCCAGTTGCGTATACTGTGTTACACAAAACCAGCTTTTTGGTTGCATATTATCTTTGGCCTTAAGGGCAAATCACACTAGCGATTGGCGATTGACGATTGACAATTAAAGATTAGATTTTAACGAATCAACAAACTTTAGCCTTGGCTTGCTTTGCTCCAATTGGTTAAGTTTGAATCTTCAATCATCAATCATCTATCGCCAATCGTTAGTGTGATTTGGCCTTTACGGTTACTGTTACGAAAGGCTATTGCAGGATTCACATCACGTCCAATATCCGACGTACGACGTCCGATATCCAATAGGAGAACAGCTTTCTAATATAAAATTCAATTCTCCATTACAAAGCTATTCTTTTATTGGATATCGGACGTCATATGTCGGACGCGGTGTGAATCCTGCATATGTTCAGATTCCTCATCCGAGTGCACTCTATTACTAGAAACACTATGGCTGGTATTCATAGTCGAATCTTATTTCAAGATCATCTTAAGTAATGTCTTAAGATCTGACTATGGCTGCGTTCCGAAATTCACTGCCAGTACTGAAATTCTATAGTATACGTAACATGAACTATAGATTTTCAGTACTGACAGTGAATTTAGGAACGCAGCCTATGAATACCGGCCATAAGCCGTAGGCCATAGGCCAGTATTCATAGTCAGATCTTATATTTAAGATCAACTTAAGTACTGTCTTAAGATGTCATGAACCAATCACAGAGCTGTATTCGCATCTTAAAACATACTTACTTAAGACGATCTTGAAATAAGATTCGCCTATGAATACCGGCCATAAGCCGTAGGCCATAGGCCAGTATTCATAGTCAGATCTTATATTTAAGATCAACTTAAGTACTGTCTTAAGATGTCATGAACCAATCACAGAGCTGTATTCGCATCTTAAAACATACTTACTTAAGACGATCTTGAAATAAGATTCGACTATGAATACCGGCTTATAATATATGTTACATATATTATAGAACTTCTAGTATTAGAGTGCATCCGGATAGGGAATCTGAACGCACCCAAAAGTGTATGTGGCCAGCTTTATTGTAAAAAGCTCATAAGGATTAAATAGTGGGTCAGATAAATTTTATTTGTATTTATCAAAGGAATAAATATTTTTACCTGACGCTTAATTATGTCACTGATATGTATCAGTATATTATTGTGATATTATAATATTATATTATTATTGATAATAGAATTAATCTAATTGAAAAATACGGTAAAGAATCAAAAGAAATCAAACATTCATTCATTGGTCGTACATTGCCTGTCTCTATACACGTGCGTATATATATAACAATTTACGTATACGAGAGTATACGCACTAGTGTACGAGAGAGATAGTTACTTGAAAATTACGAATTATATGTTTTAACTCGTAGTGTCTGTAGAGATTGTGTTTATTTTATTAATCATGGACTACAAAGATGAACAGCGCAATGAAATCGAAGCTCTAGAATCAATTTATTGTGGAGAGTTGGAAAGTATGTATTATTTTTACATAACCTGCTAAATGACATTCAATCTTCAACAAAAACTTCATCACTTTATTGAAAAGACTTTAAACGTAACTTTGTAGTTTTAGCAACAGAGCCGTTTTATACGTTTGCTATTCCGATTAAAACGGAAGAATATGAACCAGAAACTGAAAATGGACTCAGCTGTCGATTAGAATTTACATATACATCAAAGTACCCGGATGAACCATTACTTATATCAATAACAGAACAGGAAAACTTTGATGAAGATAATGAAGAATTGAAAGCACATTTGGTAGAACAGATGAGTGAAAACCTTGGTATGGTAATGGTCTTTACGTTAGTTAGTACGGCACAAGAATGGCTTAATGTACAATGGGACAAAATAAAATTAAAGAGAGAAGAGACAGCCGCACAAAAACAAAGAGAGGAAGAGGAAGCTGAAAGAGTAAGATATCTAAAGTAAGTTTAAAAATCAGAAATGATTATAAAACATTTCATTTTTTATAGAAACGATTTGAGGGAACTCGTGTAACTGTGGAAACTTTCTTAAGTTGGAAAGAAAAATTCGATGAAGAAATGGGTTATAAGAAACGAAAGGAACTTGCAGAGCGTGAAGGAAAAAAATTGACAGGAAGAGAGTTATTTATGACTGATAAAACATTGGATCAGTCAGATCTTAAATTCTTGGATGATGGTAATTTATAAAACTTTAGGTCTGTTCTTTTTAGCTAAACTAGGTAGCACTTTTTTGTCTTTACAGTAAATCAAGTATAATGATAAGTATAATCAAGTATTAAATGGAAAAGGAACACAGTTCCAGTGCAGCATTAATTCAACTAAAAAGAACAGGCCCTCTATTTGATTGTGAATTGGAATCCAGATTTCTATTCTGGGAGATGTTGATGTCCTATAATATGACTTGTTATATAGGCGATGCTGTGAAAGTGGATGAAAGTTTGTTCCAAAATCTAGATGACCTAGATTTAGAAGATGATGATGATGACGACCCAGATTTTGATCCAAATATCTCGGATGATAGTGCCTAAATGCATTTAATTTAGTAGCTGCTAACGTGAATTGATACGTAAACAATAAATTACAAGGAATACTTATTAAATTATTACACAAGAAATATGATATATTTGAGAATATATTTATGTACTAGAACATCTCTTGTGAGCTAGGTACTATATCTACGCAAAAAGTGGTAGTGATAAATTAATTATTACCACCGAGATAGAAAATATGATAGTTTTTCAATCAATCTTTTATTGGATTTCAAAACTGAAATTATATAATTAAGGAATGATAATTTTTATACTTATATATATATAATATATAGCTGAATTTTGTTCATAAAGCTTTGTTGATTAAAGAAATGTGTGATACATTTGTTCGTATTTATATTTTTAGTAAATTCTCTATACAAGATATCCTGTTTTAATGGAGCTGTATATATTTCACTAAACTTAATGTCATACAGTGATCTAGATTTCGAAAAAGGTAGCCAAAAATGCAAAAAATGAAAGTCATAATTATAAGTTTTGTATCATAGAATCTTGTAGAGAAGACATTATTGCATGTTATTCTAAAAAGAAAGTGGGTACCTGCGATGCTACGTTATTTCGAAATGACCTCTCTCGGAGCACAGTCAGTCTCACTTCGCGCGAGTGAAATATTTAAGTTTTTCAAGTGCGTATAACTTTTTATTAAAGTATCTTTTTTTCAATTCTGCTTGATGGAGGATATCAACGAAGGTATATAGAACATTCGTATATATTACATTTTCATAAATGCATATTCAGCGTGTATTAAAAATCATGTCAAAGACGTGCCTGTACAATTGCTCCTCTTATAAAAACTTTCACCGTAAATCATCGAAAAAGTTATCACGCTACGGGGAACTGCGAAATTGTTCTATGGAGCATAAAAGTTCAGATGTTTTCTAATGAAATTTTGAAGAAAATTGTGCTCGTTATTTCTCCTGTCATTGTGAAGCCATTTTGAATACAGCGGCGCCGAGCTAGACTTTTGCGCCGTTAAGGTACCTTTAAATAGGAGCGTCCAAGCGTGGAGCGTTAAAGCGTTAGCTAATCAACGTATCAGGTCCCAGAAATATACTTGTAGTTCTTGCGGAAAGTAGCACATTGATTAGATACTGCTTTAACGCTCGATGCTTCCATGTAAAGGTACCTTTAAATATTGGCGGTGGCATCGGAACTAAAATTGATCGGCGGCGGCAGCGTCATTGAAAATTGTCGTTATCGACAGCGGCGGGATCGGCGTAATGTAGATTTGATGGCGGCAGCGGCGAACATCGTGAGATCATCATTTGCACATCGTGCAAATATCGTGAGAATATCGTCAAAATGATAGTCTAATGTCACAGATCGATGACGACATTTTAGACGACTTAATGACGTTTTATGACGTCTCTAAACGTCAATAATACGTTTTTAAGACGTTATACAGAAACATCATTAAGATGTCACAAAAAAGACGTTTTAAAGACGTCGTTATTTAGTCACTTGACGTCATTCGACCAGTCATGACCAGTTTTTTACGTTATTTTGACGTGAGTCTGCTACTTGGGCTGATTCTTGTGTCGTTCACCTTACTTACTGCGTCACTATCACTTTGATTGAGAGACGCTTTATATTGTGTACATATGGTATATTCATATACGAAAGCATATGATTTATTTAAAAGAAGAAAATAGATTCTTTTAAAATATATATTTTAAAAAGTATGTAGAACCCTTATAGAAATATCATACTAAGAATCATTGATAATTACTTATTTTCAGTATTAAAAATACTGAATAATAAGTAATTATCAATGATTCTTAGTATGATATTTCTATAAGGGAAAGTATATTTAAAAAATATTTACATGTTTTAAAAATAAGTAAAATAAATTATTTTGTAAATTTAAATAAATTTTTGGTAATTATGCAGTATAGGAGACCCACCTCCGATGACCTTGACCTTGATATATATTATCAAGGACACCCTCCTGAGTCACCTTCAGAAGGTTTTAGCCGTCGCTCGTTGTTCGTTAAAAAGTTATTAACAAAAGAAGTTGCATAAAATGAGTATAGTTTTTGGACACTGTATATACAAAAACGATACTGTGTATCGTTAACGAGTAATATCGAATAATAACTACAATATCGAACGATTAGCGGGGGGCTGTGCCCCCCGCAACCCCCCTCAAAACTAACCTAACTTACCTATCGTCACATTAACCGTCAGTCATTGTTTATTAAAGTGTTCAACTTTTATGTTAATGTGACGATAGGTTAGGTTGGGTTAGTTTTGAGGGGGGAGCGGGGGGTGCAGCCCCCCGCTAGTCATTCGATATTGCAGTTATT